GTCCCTCCTCCACCCCCTCCTCCTTCCTCCTTCCCCCCCCTGCCGCCGCCTTCCCCGTCACCTCCCTCGCCATCCTCTCCTTCACCGCCTTCCCCGAGGTTGTTCCCTCCCTCCCCACCTGGACCGCCTCCCCCTCAGCCGCCTCTTCCTTATTGCCCCCCTCCCCCCCCTCGACCCCCCCCCCCCCCTTTGCCGCTTCCCCTAACGACCCCCCCCTCGCCCCCCCGGGCCCCGGCACCTCCACCGCCTCCTTTGCCGTTCCCCCCCCTCCTCCGGGGGTTTTCCCCCCCCCCCCGCCGCCGCGGCGGTTTTCCTAATCCTTTCCCTCTCCGCCCCTACTAACGCCGCCTCCCTCTCCGCCCCCCCCCCCCCCCAGACCCAGGGCCCCGAAAATGCTCCCCGCGGAAGCTGCTCGACAGATGTCTCGCAGCTGCGTATTCTCGTATTCTCGTATTATCGTCGCGTAGTGTGGTATTTCGTTGGGGCGGTGCGTATTCTCGTATCACTAGCTGGTGTCGTGTCCACAGCTCCGAGTAGAGGGGGTGCGGTCTGCTGCTAGGGGGGCCCAAGGAAGCGCGAGGGAAAAATTCCGCCGCTGAGGGAAACCCGGAGCGCGGAGCTATCCCTCGGAGACCCGTGTTATGGCCCTGCGACCGCGCACCCCCCCACGGTCGAGGAAGAGGGTGCGTTCTGCAGTTAAGGGGTAACCCGGTACACGGAACCATCCCTCGGAGACCTAGCTCCGAGAAGAGGGGGCGTCCTGCAGTTAAGGGGAAACCTGGTACGCGGGGCCAACCCTCGGAGACCCGTGTTATGGCCCTGCGACCGCGCACCCCCCACTAGCTCCGAGTAGAGGGGGTGCGGTCTGCTGCTAGGGGGGCCCAAGGAAGCGCGAGGGAAAAATTCCGCCGCTGAGGGAAACCCGGAGCGCTGCCGTACGCCCTCGGAGACCCGTGTTATGGCCCTGCGACCGCGCACCCCCCCACGGTCGAGGAAGAGGGTGCGTTCTGCAGTTAAGGGGAAACCCGGTACACGGAACCATCCCTCGGAGACGTGTTATGGCCCTGCGACCGCGCACCCCCGGGGCTAGGGCTCTCTTGCCCGCAACCCAATCCCGATCATCCGGCCCGCTCGGCCGCCGGCGGCCGCTGCACCCGCGCCTTCCCTCGCGGGCGCCGTCGCGCCGCGCGCGCCCAATTCTGCTGGTACACGGCACGCGTCGTCACACAGCCGCGGAGAACAGGCGGTGCTGTGCGCGAAGCGCGCGCGATCTCGTACTTTTAAGGCTGGATCCGGCCATTCCAAGGGTATTCCTTTGAGAATCCCCAGCGTCCCACCCTCCTAGTCACACTCTCAATATCTCGACTCTCCAACACGATGTGCTGCGATCGGGAGTGGCCCATTTCTTTTTCCTTTCTTTTTTTGGGTCCTGTGGGCACCCTAGACTCGGTCCGCGTGCCTCCTCGTGTCCCGTACCGTTCTCACACATCCATAAACTCACTTTGGCCTCACTGAAGCAAGCCCTCAATCCTGAATCCTCAGATTTTAGATTAGGACGCTGTCCACCCCCTACACGTCGGCTTTAGAGAGTATCAGGTTGTTGAGTTCGCGTCGAGGCGGGAACACCGGCCTGCCCTCATGAAATATCTATTTGTGCCACCATTGCACAAAACTATTGACATGCATCATGGTGTTCATGCTGCCGCTTTTGCGCCCCCGGTTCCGGAAGAGACCCCCCAACCCCCCAGCCCCCGACACGCGGTAACCGGTGTACCGTCTCGCCACCACCCGTGGTCTGTCTCTATGCCAGTCCCGCGCGCCACGACGGAGTTGCCCTGCGGCCTGTGCTCTGCGGCGGCGGCGGCCGTCCGGAGCTGGCTGGTTCGGCCCTATCCTGCTCGCACAGCAGCCGGCGGGCCCGCACCGCCGCGGTCGGCTGCGTACGTGCGCGCGCCCCGTCCCTCTGCGCGCGCGACAAGTCTGGTCTCGAGGCCTCCTCCAGACTCGCCAAGCGGGCGCGCCTAAGGTAAGATAAGGTAGACTTCTCCACAAAGTGGTGGGGTTAGGGGGGGCAACCACAGGCAGGAGCTGGCACGGCATTCAAAGTGCAAAGCCCGGTGCACGTGGGTGAGCAACCTGGCCCTCCCTCCCGACAAACCGACTCCCGCACACACACAAGCGGGCGCGCCTCTCCGCCTCTTGCTCGCCGCCCGCCTCGCGCCTGCGCCGGTGGCGCATGGCGACGGCATGGTCGTGCGCTCTCCGCGCGGCGAGATCGACGCCGCTCTTTGCCTACTCACGCGGGCGCCGCGTGTGAAAGAGAGGCTGCCCACAGCTCGCAGAAAAGTGCCTCCGCTCTTTGCCCGCGCGAGCGCCGCCCGCTCCGCCGCCTCCCGCTCCGCCGCCGCCTCCGCGGCCCGCTGCTCCTCCCGCCTCGCCGCCGCCGCCGCCGCGAGCGCCACCTGTTCACAGCAGGCTCCGTGAAGAGACGCAACTACTCACATGCACAGCTCGTCCGCCGCCGCGAGCGCCACCCGCTCGCTCCTCCGGCGCTCCGCCGCCGCCACCGCCGCCGCCGCCGCCCGCTCCGAGGCACACCGCCGCTCCTCCTCCGCCGCCATGGCCGCCCGGACGCGCTCCTCCCGCCACGCGAGCAACTGCGCGTCCTTGCGCGCCGCCGCGGGGCGCAGGGACAACCGGCGGCGCCGCGGCGGGGCAATGTCTGCGCATCCGCCGCCCTCGCCGACCACCTCTCTGCCGGCCGCCTGGCGCTCGGCGCGCGCCTGCCGCCACGTGGAGAGGAGGGCTCGCCGGCGAGAGAGCAGCGCCTCGCGCTGCGCCGTGCGTGACGCATGCTCTCCGATCTGCGCGCGGCTGTAGCCGCCGAGCAACGCGCCCGCCCGGTTGAGCAGAGCCTCCTCACACCGGCCTCCCTCCGCCGCTGAAGCCCCTCGCACACCGCTGCCGCAGACCTGAGTGCGGGCCCGCAGGAAGACGGCGTGGTCCTCCGCGGTCCAGCCGCAGCTCGCGCCGCCGAGTGTCTCGAGTGCTGCTTCCACTTGGGCCACCTCATCCTGCAGCCCCGCAATCACGTCGTCCGCCTCGGTGGTGGTGGCAGCGGCCGGAAGACTCCGCGCGCACCGCCGGGTGGCGGTGGCAGCCTCGGAGGGCTGAGAGCTTCGGCTTTCGGCGGGGCCCTCCGCGGCGCGGTCCTCGAGGGAGCGGCCCACCGAAGCGAGCTCCGCCGAGAGCCGCTCCTCCTCCTCTGCCAGCTCACCTCTCTGCAGGTCGAGTGCGGCACGCGCCTCGTGCACCTGCGCAGAGGCCGCAGCGACGGCGCTCTGCAGCTGCAACAGAGCTTCGTCGTCGTCCGCATCGACAGCCCGCCGCAGCTGCGTGCTAAAGTCGCCGACGGCGCGCCTCGCAGCCCGGCAGGAGCCGAGCAGTGCATTCATCTCTGCACCCGGCCCATCGCTCGATCCGTCTCCCGCAGGGCGCGCGAGCAGCCCGACGCGCTGCGCAAGACAGGCCGCCTGCTCGCGCCAACGGCGGCGGTCCGCACTGGACGGGTCGAGCGCTGGCGCGTTTGGCGAACGGTTCTCCATGGCGAGCGGCAGCGGGGGCCACGAGAACGGTTTGCGAGGACTAGGGATTTGTACCAGAGGGGGGAGGGAAGGGGGCCCAGATCTGCTCGTCTCAGAGGGTACCCTCTGTGCCAAGAGAGGCCATCCACGAGCGGCTCAGAGGGTGCCTGGGCCGACCCTCTGAAGGCCTGTGCCGCCAAGCCAGCCTCTCTCGGCGCAGCCTCTGAGGCTACGGGGACACGGGGACCCTCTGAGACGCCAAGGCAAGCCCCGCGAGGCCGCTCCTCAGAGGGGTTTTCAGGCATTTCAAGTCTCTCTCGTCCCCACAACCACAGAAAAAGAATTTCTGCGAGAGTTGACGGAACTGTCTCTCCAGCTACTCTGCGCGAGGCGCCCCAGCTGTGGCGAGGCACCCAAGATGCGCATCAGAGTCCGGGTCAACGACATTGTCGGGCGGCCGCTCCAAGCACATCCTCAGTGGAAAGGAGGATTTCAGGTATAATTCATGTATGGGAGTATGCTAGTACAACACTGCTGAACTGAAATACACACGTATTTCCAGTCCAATCACAAAAGTACACATACTTTAAATACTTGATTTTATCTCTTTCAGTGTGTGGGCGAAGTAGCGGAGTAACTGGGAGGCTGCGGCGCAATACGACGCAATATGGCAGTAGGCGCGGCACGCTAGGACGTATGCAGGTACGCCGGGCGCCTCCCAGAGTATGGGTACTGGTGTACTGCATCATACTTGGGTATGTCGAGCCTTGGAGTATCGCAGTATCTCGGAAGCACCAGTGCAGTATCTGCCAGTATTCTCCAGTATTCTCCAGTATGGCCCAGTGGGCCAGACAGTGACACAGCAGGTAGCGCGCCTCTGGCTCAATTTTGCTCTTCTTGAAACCGGTGATGCTGCGCAGTTTTGCCAGGGCCGCCACTGTCCTCGTGTTTGATCCCGACCGAGTGCGCAACGTCGGGAAGCGACACATACGTAATGTGTGCATGTGCATGTGCACATCGAGGGGGAGAGGTGAGAAGCTGGCAGTAGCTCCAAAGTCGCAATCGTTGGCGTTGGAATGGGACGGCTCGAGCAAATGCATCAATCCCGCAGTGCCGAAGGTAGTGGTAACAGGATGTTGTACCATTGTACGGGGGTGCGCACGGCAAGAGTTCTCACGAATGCTGGTGCCGGCTGTATTTGGCGCTGCGTGTAGGGGGGGATATGGCTCAGTGTAAAAATAAATTTTCTCGGGCTGCACTGGCTCGGGCAGGTGGCCGCCATTCTGTTCGGTTTTGGCCTCTTTGTGTACCTCCCAGCTCCGAGGTGTCGCATTCCCGGCTCCGCTGACGATTGATGCAGCTTCCTCCCGTGGTGCCACACCTGCACCAGCGCGGTGCTAAGCCTTGCCGCCACCTCCGCCCTCAGGAACGGTACACAACTCGGCGCGATGGGCAGGAAGTCGGGCATGACGGGGGATGCGGAGAGGCGCAAGCGGCGCAAGGCCGCCGAGGCGGCCGCTGTCTCCGTCGAGCCCACGGGCGCCACCGAGGCGCCGGAGCCGCCCGCCGCGCCCGACAACTCGCCGGAAAGGGAGGTCGAGCCGGCAGTCGAGCCGGCAGCGCCCGATCATCCCTGCCTCCGGCACCCAGACCCCGAGGTGAGGGCCCTCGCGGCGCTGCAGCTGAAGATTGAGGCGGAGCAGTCGGGCACGGAGTCAAAGGAGGAGATCGAGCTCAAGGTGAAGATGGCGTGGCTGGCCCGGCTCGCCGACGACTACTGCGTGCGCGTGGGCGACACTGAGCGGACCAAGGGGCTCTTCGGCGGGAGGCGGCCTTGGTGGCGAGAGGAGGGGTGGCACGAGTGGTACCCCGGCCGCTGGGCGGAAAACCGCCTTCTTTGGGGCGAGTACAACGAAGAGCGAGATGGTGAGACCGAGATGGAGCTCCTCCGGCACCGGCTGGCCCGCTGCCGGAAAAAATCCGGGGTTTAGCTGGCGTATCTCGGGCCCACTTTAGAGCTAGGGCATGATCTTAGGTGTTCTGGATAGCCCACAAGGGTCTTCTGTGGCATGGTAGCGGTGGTTTTGCGCGAGGCGTTCATTCAAAAATCACCATATCCCCCCCTACTGCGTGTCAGCACAGGAGTATGTCTGGCCAGGCAAGCTGAATGTGGACATCTCGTCCCCGTTCCTAAATGAATGAAGAGACCAAACTTTGGAGCCGCTCTTGTCCTGGGCAACGTCCTGTCGCGTTTGCCAGTCTGCGGTCGCGCTATCTGCCAGCCTCGTTCGTTGCACCAAGACGGCAGCCGTGCGCACGAGGTATGTGCGTGAGTCGTTTTTGTGTGTGCGGTTCGGGAAACATGCGATTCAATGCGCAGTGGCGCGTCGCCTTTGCTGGATAGTCGACGGCGGCCTCTCGAGTGGCAAGTCCTCAACATGAAAAAAACAAAAGAACGACGAAAGCAGAGTCTTCAATACCTAAATTTGGGGGGACGCACGAATATGAGGTTTGTGCGACACATGCATTCGGTCGGCATGCTCGCCCTCGTGGCGGGCATGCCCCTGACCTACACCGTGCGGGACTGTGGCACCAGGCGCGGTACACTGTATGACACTGGCTTCCTTCCAAGCACGTTGCAGACGGCTTGGGACAAATACAGCGGCGCGGTCGGCAACGTCCTGCCGCCCACCAGAAGCGACCACAAGCGGATTGTGTGGTCATCTGCTTGCGTGTGCGATGTGTTGTGGCGCAGATTGCGCTTGTGCGATGTGTTGTGGCGCAGATTGCGCTTGCGTCCCAAGCCATTGGCCTGGTGCAGCGCCAGCCCCCCGTTTTCTGATTCGAATATTTCATGGCGGCTGCAGTTGCCGACCGCACAAACTGGGTGCAATGTTTGATGGGAAGGACCCACTCCGGATGTCCATCATGTGGGCGCATACAATCATCTTGGACTCGACGAAACCTACTTCACCGCAACAGACACAAGCTTCGCGAAAGGGCAACTGCACCATCCGCATCGTCACATCGCCAACGGAAACGGATCAAGCAGGGGCGCAGCAACAAACCAAGTTCAAGTTACTAGGGATGATTGTCAATCGGCCAGCGTCTAGAGCATTATTTGAGAATGGAATCCGCGGCTTATGGACAAGTGATGGCTTTTTGTGATATGAGCCCGCAGCCCTGCTCTCTCCTACCACGAAGTCGCCCATGCGCCTCAGGCCTCACAGGCGCCCGCCCGCCCGGCCGGAGCAGCCCCCACTCGTCGCCGCAAGGCCGCTCGAATTGGCCGCCTTCCGTCCCCCTGCCGAGGGACCATGTGGAAGACGGCTAGTGCTAGTGTCCCCCATCGGGAGGACGACACCGGCTAGCCGCCGACCACACCCACAAAGAACCCTGCACAAAGATCGCACGGGCGGGGACCTGTTCCTTTTTACCCATCTCACAGTAGAGAGGTCGGCGTTTTTATTTATTTATTTCAATGCTTGCCGCGCTCGCCCCCCCCCCCCTCCTCGACTGCACTCCCTTTTTGCAATCATAAAAACCTCGCCTCGTGAACGTGATAACATGTGAAGGAGAAACAAAATGTGACCAACGTTAAATAGACCCCGAGATGAAGCTGCGTCACGGAAAGTAACGTCAGGCCCCCAGCGCATGTTCAGTCACATCTGCAGCACGTCCGAGGAGCGGCCGCTTGTGGAGACGGCGCGCAACGCCATCGCCAAGCACGAGACGCCGCCGGCACACCGTGCAGTGGGCGCCTCGATGGGCGGGATCGGCTCGAAGCCGAGCTTGAGGGCGGCGACCCAGCCGCCAAGCGAAAGTCGCCGCGCAACGGGTTGACGAATAGCGGGTCGGCCACGATGGAGTGCTCGTCTGCGCCACTGCTGAAGGGCGCCTGAGAGGAGAGAGGCGGTAGAAGAGAGGAGAGAGGCGGCAGGAGAGAGGGGAGAGGGGAGAGGGGAGAGGGGAGAGGGGAGAGGGGAGAGGAGAGAGGGGAGAGGGGAGAGGAGAGAAGAGAGAGGAGAGAGGAGAGAGGCTGTGAAGGGCGCCTGCGGCGGCGGCGAGGCGCACAAACCCTTGCTCGCGCTGCCGAGAGGGCGCAGCGCCGTGCCGTTGCCCAGCGACCAGCGCTGGTTGTCTGCGCCGGTGCACGCGGCGAGCTGCAGGATCGAGCCCGCCTTCCCGTTGCATCCTCCGACGTCCCCGCCGCGCACGCACACCTGGAGGCAAGCGCCGCCACCTCGACGAACTAATCAGCAACCATTCGTCATAGCGGCGAATTCATAGCACACCTGCAGGCAGGCTCCGCCACCGAGCTGCCTGAGCGTCGCGTCGGCGCCGAGCGACCACGCCTGGTTCCGCACGGGAAGTGCGCCGTGGGGCGCGTCCATGCACACGCGCGTCCGGGCGCCGGCCGGGTCCGAGCAGTGCACCCAGTCGCCCTCGCAGTCGATGCTCACCACGACGCCGGCGGCGAACGGCCTGGCCGCCACCGTGGCCGCGGAGGGCGCGAGCCGCACTCCAGCCTCGTCCCCGTCGGCGCGCAACTCCCACGCCCAGCTGCAGTCCTCGGACAGTACTAGGCTCGCCCTGGCGCCGTCGGCGCAGCGCAGCAGCGGCGGCGGCGCCTTGCCCGCTCGCCACGAGGTGAGGTTGCGGCCGCCTGGGAAAAGCGGCACGGCGGCGGCGTCGAACTCCTCGGCGAAGAAGAGGTTGAAGTTGGAGCCGTTGTTCTTAAGCTCCTCGTCTTGCCACGGTACCATGCTCGCGACCGCCGCCGCCCTGCCCGCGACGCCGCCATCCGCACCCATGCCCGCACCAAAGTAGAAGATGTTTCGTTTTACCGTCGAGCCCGCGATGTCGCGGCTCGGCACGACACCGCTCACAGGGTCGGGGTTGGCGGGGCCTCCAGCCGTGCCGAAGTTCATCAGCACGGACGAGCCCGCGCCGCCCACAAAGACGTTGTTGGTGATCGAGTTGTTGCCTCCGGCGTTGTCGAAGACGGCGCCGTGCAGCGTCGCCCCGATGACATTGCCGTGGACCGTCGCGCCGCTCATGCCACCGTCGAGGTAGACGCCCCAGACTAGGCCGCGGCAGCTGCCCGGAGGCCCCCCCGCGCCGTGCACGCAGACGTGTGAGCCATCGCTGCTGCTCGAGCCGACGGTGTGCGAGATGTTGTTGAAGCGGACGGTGTTGTTTGTGAACCACCCCGCGGAGCCGTTGCCGCAGAGGCCGGGGTTGCCGCTGCCGAGCATCTCGATCGCGCCCGTGTCGGTCGTCAGCCGGTTCGTGTCCGCGAGGATGTTAAACTCGAAGACGTTGTCGAGCGAGTTTTGCGTCGTGTAGAAGGAGTCCGCCTGCAGGCCGTACCGCGGGCACCTGCGGGGAGATATGGGGGAGATATGGGGGAGATATGAGGGAGGTGTGGGGGAGATACGAGGGAGGTCTGGGGGAGGTCTGGGGGAGGTCTGGGGGAGGTCTGGGGGAGGTCTGGGGGAGGTCTGGGGGAGGTCTGGGGGAGATATGGGGAGATATGGGGAGATATGGGGGAGATATCACCGCTGCACGCGATTGTGCGCGACGACGCATCCCGACGCCGAGCGTAGAGCCACGCCGGCGACGTGCACAAGCACGCGGCCAAGGTCCTGCATGACGTTGTGCGCGACGTTGACGCGGCGCGGCTGCGAGTTGTTGCCGCCCGCCGTGCCCCGCTTTGGGTTTGGCGGCAGCGGCGTGGCGCTGTCCTTGCCATAGAGCACCACGCCGCCCTGGCCCACGCCATCCACCAGATTGCCGACGATCGCGCAATCGCGGCTCGCGTTGCCAACCGCCACGGCGTGACCTCCACACGAAGCGAGGAAATTGCAGGCCTCGACGGTGACGTCGTGGCAGTAGCTCAGCCTCACGGCCGCGTCGCTCGGCTGCATCGCGGGCCCGTCCCAAAAGCCGTCGGCGTAGTAGGTCGTGTCCGCGAACGTGAGGTTCGAGACAACGACGTGCGAGCTGCCGTTGAGGTCCACCAGCCGATCGAGCACCGGCACCACCGCCTCGCCTCCCATCAGTGCCGCCCGCTGCGCCGCGTCCGCCGGCCACGCGTACAGCACGCCCGCCGCCTCGTCGTGAAAGAAGTGGCCCGGCGAGAGCGCCCAGCCCACGTTCTCGAGGAAGAAGCGCTGGTGCACTGTGAACGTGTTCCGAAAGAGGACCTGCAGGGCGGGGCCGTCCTGCGCCGCCGCCGAGGGCGGCACTGGCAGCGCCGAGGGCAGCGCCGAGGGCGGCGCAGTCGCGCTGCCGTTGCGCACCGCGACAACCTTGGTGAGCTGCGAGTTGACGTCCGCCTGGAAGTGTCGAGGAAGTGTCGAGGAAGTGTCTCGGGAGTGTCGAGGAAGCGTCTCCGGAAGGTCGTGAAAGTGTCTCAAATGTCGAGGAAATGTCTCGGGCATGTCTGAGGGAGTGTCGAGAAAGTGTCGAGGGAGTGTCGAGGGAGTGGCTCGGGGATGTCTAGGAAGCGTCTCGGAAGTGTCTCGGGCATGTCTGAGGGAGAGTCTAGGAAGTGGCTCGGCATCTCTAGGGAGTGGCTCGGAAGTGTCTCGCCTCGCCGCAGCCAAGCACGTGCGTGTACGCGCCGAGAAGCGCCGAGATCGGGTCGGCCCGTGCGGTAGGGGGGGGCCGCAGCTTGGCGCCGTCAATGCCGATCCACGCCGCGTGTCGGCCCGGTGCACCTACCGCACCACCCACGGGACGGAATCCTCACTGGGTTCGGTCCTCTGGAGGTATGGTAACGTCGCCGAGCAGCGTGGTGATCCTAACTGCCGGAGTGCGTGTCCTCTCGAGCGCTGGTTGGGAGACAAGAATACGTCTTCCGCTTCTAGGGACGCCGCTCCCCAGCTGCCAACACGAGATCTGGGGAGATATGGGGGAGATACGGTGGTATCCGCTTCTAGGACGTCGCACTCGCGTTGCCCGGCACCGACCACGCCTGCGCAAAGGTAAGGCTGAGGTAAGGGAAGGAGCACTTCTCCACACACACGAGGTGGTGGTGGGGCAAGGGCCAGGCTAGTCCCTCGCGACTCCACGTCTAGACGACAGGAGCCCCACGGCATTCAAAGTGCAAGGCCCGGTGCGCGTGGAAGAGCGGTGCGAGCGGTGCGAGCGGTGCGAGCGGTGTGTGTGTGTGTGTGTGTGTGTGTGTGTGTGTGTGTGTGTGTGTGCGTGCGTGCGTGCGTGCGTGCGTGCGTGCGTGCGTGCGTGCGTGCGTGCGTGCGTGCGTGCGTGCGTGCGTGCGTGCGTGCGTGCGTGCGTGCGTGCGTGCGTGCGTGCGTGCGTGCGTGTGTGTGTGTGTGTGTGCGTGTGTGTGAGTGTGTGTGTGTCTGTCTGTCTGTCTGCGCGCCTGCGCAAAGAGCCAATTGGGCGTGTCCAGCCCATCGCCATGCAGCGCTGGGAAGCGGCTGCGGTTGAGCAGCGCGCCGCCCGCCCGCACGCCCTTGATCTCCACGGGCCACTCGCGGGCGTCCGCAGCGAGAACAGCGCCGGCCGGCCAACCGTTGGCGAGCCGCGCGCCGTCAGCGTCAGCGACGGGCGACCAGCCCGCCAGCGGCGCGCCGCCGCTCAGCACACTCGCGGGGCCGGCGCCGCGGAGCAGCAGAGGCGCAGCCGCAGAGCCGCCGCCACCGAAGGCGCTGCTGCCCAGGGGCTCGGAGAGGAAGCAGACGCCCGGTGCTATGCGCACCTCCGCCGCCGTGCCGCGAGCCGCGCCAAGCGCGCGCGCGCGGCGCAGGCCAGTAGCGACGTCGGGGAGCGGGTCGGCGGCGGTGGCGCCGCTGCCACCGCGCGCTACCGTCGGGCTGCAGTCGACATGCACCTGCACAGCGGCTGTAGCGGCGTGCGCCCGCGAGCGTGGCGGCGCGTCGGCGCCTTGGTGGCGCAGCAGCGGCGAGAGTGCGCTTGGGCCTTGGCCGGCGGCGAACTGGGCCACATCAGCGTGTGGTACCGCTGGCTCGAGCGCCGCGAACCCGAGGAGTAAAAGGGGTGGTATCATTGAAGGCCCCCCCACAGTCGGTCGCCAGCGATCGCGATGACACCCCGTCAGAGAAAAAGAATTTTTTCATTCTGTGTTTGGCGATCCGCTGCCCGGGCGAGGGCAGGGCCGCGGAGGAGGCGGGCGCGCGCTTGCCAGGCCTTCCGCAGACAGACAGACAAGTGTTCACGATCTGTAGTCAGTGCTAATGTTAGTCGAAGCAAAACAGGCCGTGTGGGGTGTGGGTGTCACGAGCGAGGACAGACGTCCACGAAGACGGTGGACGGACGCAAACTCCTTATCCGATTCACACTCACGGCTGTCCTACTGGTCATATAGAAAGTCGGCCGTCCGCGAGCCCCCAGCTCGCCGACGGCGAGAGAGATGCCACGAGGGGTCGCGCGGTGGCGTCCATCGCCAGGCTCCCTAGCTCAACCGACGACCCTTCGGGATCGACGGCCGATCGTCATGCCCGCGCCGCCGTCGTGTTCATGCAGGCCCTTGCCACACGCCCACCGCTTCAGCAAGCCGAGCGCGAGCGCGGGCACCGCCGGCTCGCCACCGCCGCCAGTGCCGTTCGTGGGCGCCTTGCCCGTGCCGTCGTATTTGGCGACGCCGTCGAGCGCGCCCGCGCGGCGCTCATCGGCGGCTCGGGTGGATATGTTGCTCATCTGGTTGTGTTGCACCCCGGCTCCCATCTTGCGGTCACGGCTCGAGACCTTGTGGCCGATCTGCATCTTGCGGCTTCGCGTCTCGGGCCATGGCGTCCTGTGTGCCCACGCGGCAAGGAGGGCGCTAGAGGGTGGGGGCGGGATCGGGGAGGGGGCTCGCGCTAGGTGTGCGCGTGCAAATCGCAGGGCTACTGGACACGTGCACTCTGTCGTCCGTGCGCGCGCGCGAGGGCGGGCTGGCAGGCACGGCGCCCCGGGCACGCGCCCGAGAGTGCCCGTGGAGGGTGCAGGGCGAGGGTGGGGGGCGGGGGGGGGGGGGGGGGGGCGGCTGTGCGCACCACATGTACTTGAGGATGATGCCGCCGTCGTAGAACGCGTTATTCTCCGCCTGCGTGACCGAGCCCCCCATATGATGGCGGCCCGGCGTGTACACGTAGTTGCTCCCCAGACCCACGTGCATGAAGCGGTCGTAGAAGGCCCCGCCGCTACGACCGCCGAGGAGCAGCCCGCGCTGCGGCTCGACGAACACGCCGCGCTGGCACACGAGGGGCTCGGCGCTTGGCGGCTTGAGTGGTATCGTGTCGTCGCCCACGGCGATGAGCGAGTGGAAGTGGAGCACCCGGTGGCCGCTTGGGCCAGGGTCGAGCGCGGCGAGCAGCTCGTGGAAGCCCGGCATCACGAGGAACTCGGTGGTCGTGAGCGCGATGCGCCAGTCGTCGGGCCGTGTCATCTCCCACTGCTTCACCTGCCGGTCGAGGTTCACCGCGTCGAACTCGCCGTCCCACGACGGCACGACCTTCCAGGTGCGCGGCGCGAGCTGGCGCACGAGCTCGGCCGAGCCATCGGTCGAGTTGTAGTCGATGAGGATGGCACTCGAGAACATCGGCGCGTGGTGCGCGATCCAGTACGGTAGCAGCAGCGCCTCGTTGTAAAAGTGGGACACGAGCAGCGTGCCCCTCCGCTTGGGCTGCGCGCCGGCGGTCGGCGCCGCGCGCAGGAGCGCGAGGAGCAGGGCGACGTCCCGCATATACACCACACGCATCCTCGAAGCAGCGTTATCGGGCGCCGTGCACGGCACCGCCAGGTCGAAGTTTTCTTACGTTACGCCAGTAAGGCATGCAACAGCCAGGAGAGCGCGAGCGCGACCTCCGAATAAAATTCCGGAGATCCTGGCTCACACAAGTCTCTCTCACAAGTCTACCCAGCAGCCGCATCCAGCAGAGGCCAGGGCGCCACATGCACATGTCCATGGACATGTGCTGGACATGCACATGCGCTGAGTTTAAATAAATAAATAAAACGGACACCTCTACTAGGAGATGGGTTAAAAGGAACAGGTCCCCGCCCTGCGGTCTTTGTGCAGGGTTCTTTGTGGGTGTGGTCGGCGACTAGGAAGCCGGGGTCGTCCTCCCGATGGGGGACTAGCACTAGCCGTCTTCCACATGGTCCCTCGGGTCCCTGCTGCTCCTAATCTCGTCGTACATCCTCCTGCTGATCTCCGCAACATCCTGCTCCCTCCCTCGTCTCGCCCTGCGCGTCTGCTCCGCCTCCCCGTCGTCCGCCCTGCGTCGTCTGGTGACGGGTCCTCCATAGTCGGTTGAGGTCGCCGCCCTCCTCGTGCCTCTTCCCAACGTTTCCTCGGCGGCCGATGCCGTCTGCTCCTGTTCACAGCGGGGGGGCAGTGGTTGTCCTGGCGGAGTCCTGACGGAGTCCTGACAGAGTCCTGACAGAGTCCTGACAGAGTCCTGACGGATACACCGTCCGGTCCGTGTTAGGAGCCAGATGATGGGACAGCCACGCCTTTTTTCTCACCCTGGCTCAACCCGGGGGGCCGTTGTGCCGGGGTGATTGCCCCTGTGGGCGCAGCCGCCGTGATGCGGTCCGCCCTGCTGCGGTCGCGTGGCCTGCTGCCCGGGCTGGCCTCGTCCGGCGCCAGCTGTCTTAATGACTGCACTCCAAGAGTGCCCCAAGCTAGGGCTGGGTCGAGGACAGACACGTCCCCACCTTTGCAGGAATTTGCAAAAGCGAGGGGGGAGGGTGCATCGCCGCGCGGAGAGGGCTGGGGCCTGGGCACAGGGCACAGGGGATCTCTCTCGCATAGGATACACACTCCTCACTCGGCGGCACGGAGGGCAAGGCTGGGCGTCCTATCTATTTGTGCTCCTCTCCGTATCCCTCGCTCTCGGGCACTACTTGGAGCAAAGAATCAGTAACCAGCCTCCGGCGGGGCCCCCCGCTACCATCCAAACCCGAGTACCGGTCTCAATCATGGATAGAGGCTCAAGTGTGACATAAGTGTCGCTGTCCACATAGACATACACACATACACAAAGCAACTCTCACGACACACGGGCACCGGGTGGAGCGGCGGCGGCGGCGGCAGCAGCACGCGCGGGCGGACGGATTCGGACGGGGCGGAGCAGCGACCGCCTGGGCGGCCGCTGCTCTGCAGAGCGCGCCGTCTGTCTGCGCAGCTCGAGCGCCGTCAGGTGCAGGGAAGCGTGGCGGCGCGGGGACGCGCGGCGGCGGTGGCGAGCAGGCGAGCGGCCCGCGCGCGGCGAGGCGGACAGGTGATCGGCAGGTGGGTGATGGGCCGGAGAGTGACCGCGCCCAGCGATCGGAGGCGAGCCGGTCGTCGCTCGGCCGCAGCTGACCTCGAAGGCGTGCGAAGCGCGACTGTCGGTGTCGGGGGGCGGCCGTCATGTGGCGAGGAGGGAGGACGACAAGTGCGCGTCGTACGGGTCGCTCTTCATCGGCCAGTCGAGGTTGCGAGATACGGTTCGCGCCCAAGTTTGGACGCTCTGTGGACGCGCAGCATTGGAAAGGGGGCTTCTGGGGTGGCCAAATTCACACCTCGCGGGACTACTTATGTTTTCGTAAACGTAGTCGTGGCCCCCCGCTACGTCGCACGAGTGCAACCGGGTAGCGGGGGGCTAAGAAAGCATCTTAAAATACAAGCCTCTCTCACAGCACACTGGCACGACAAGCGCCGCAGACTGGCGCGGACTGGCACACACACCGGCACACGAAAAAGAAAGAAAGCAAACATCGAACCCAAAAGAGGGATGGGAGAACGGCGGCACGCCGCCACCACACAGGGATTTCACTGGAAGGAAGGTGTGTTGCTTGAGCACTTGAGCACTGGATAGGGTCGATTCCGCATGGTACGGGACCCCTCGATCGTCTCGCCCTCCCTCACTGGAGTGTTCATTGGGGGGGGTCATAACAAACACGGTACAGGATCGAGGTGCACGCTGCCGAAGCAGTGTCGTCCCCCCTCTCCCCGACGGCGATGGCGGTGTGACCGATCGAGCTACAAGAGGAGCTTGGTCAGCAGGATCCGGGATAGTCTGATGCACTACCTCACTGGGCCTGAGATCACCGAGACTACACCCGTCACCGTCTCGGATTTGCGTGGGGTCGAACCACTCCGGGATGGGCAAGCCCATCGCTCTGGGTTTGCATTGTCTTTCACCTGTAGAGGGGGCGGCGGAGGATACGTGCGCCGCTTTGATCGTGGCAATCGGGGAAGGGCCGCGGGAGAGGGAGGGGGGGGGGGTTCAGCCGATCAGAAAAGGTAGACATAGCAACTTGGTGACGTACGTTATACACGCAAATTGCTATGACACCCTCCTCCCCCGCTCCCCACCGCCCCCCTCCCCCTCCTCGCCCGCGCCCCCCCCCTCTCCGCCATCCCCCTCCCCGTCCCGCGCCCCGAGCCCGGGCGCCTCCTCTCCGCACCCCGCACACAGCACCCCCCCATTCGCGGAGAGCACCCCGTCCTCTTCATGCAGCCCCGGGCTGTCCCGTCCGTAGGCGTGCCGGAGGTAGAAGGTCGACAGCACCCCCATGCGGGCCGCCGTCTCCACCGAGTCAGCCCTGGGCCCCCGAGGACCCCTCGGCTTGCCCTTATCAGAGGAGCGCGGCTTCCTCTTGCTGGTGGCCTCGAGCTGCGCCGCTTCGGCCAGGATCCCCTTCCTCAGCAGATCGCCGTGACAGGACTCGATCCTACCCGCGCATAGGAGCACAAGATCCGTGCCGTCTCGAACCTTCTGTGCCAGTTCGCGAAGTGCTGCCGACCGCGTCCTCCAGAGTCGATCGGCCTTGTCGTCCAGGAACGCGTCGGCGGTTTCAAGGACGCGACCCTCGCTGGAGCGCATCTCCCTCGCCGGCGTGGCCCGGTCGACTCCGTGCCGCGTCGCGGCAGCGCGCGCCGAGGCAGCATCTCCCTGACCCTCCCCCCACATTGCATACGCCGCCCGGAGTGCCTCCGTGGCGCAGGCGCACCCTCCACGGTGCCCCCTGCGATCGAAGCACGTGCGCTCCCTGGCCCTCCCAGTCGTGAAGGGCGTCGCGAGCTCAGGGTGTCTGCCGGATCTACCTGAGATCCACCCGAAGATGCCCAGCGGGAGCCCGGCCTCCCTGGCCGACGACTCTAACTCTCCCGAGGGCGAGGTTCGGGGAGGGGCCGCCCTCTCAGGTGTGTTGCTAGCCGTCGCCCACCCTTGGGACGACACTCTCCCCCCCTCCCACTTGGGCGTCTGCAGCCTCTTTCTTTCTTCCTACCTATCTCTCTTCGCAGTCCCTCGCCGATTCTCTCGCTGCAACCTTCTACCTTCATGCCACCTCGCGGTCGTCCCACTCTCGTCGTTCTCTCTCTTGTCGCTTCTTCCTCTGTCGCGTCGCTCTCCTCTGCCTCGTCCTGCGACGCCGCCTGAATGACGATCGGTCGGCTGGCGACCCGTTAGGGTCGACAGTTGAGCTAGGGAGTGTTGCGATGGCCGCCCAAATGCGAACGCAGGAGATAAAATGCTTTGCGGCGACGTTCCGTGGGTAGGATCAAGTCGCCGCTTGCTTTAATAATAGTCTACGCGCGTCCTCGGGGCCAAGGCGCAGTCCAGCTGTCTGAGGGAGAGAGTCTCCCTCGCTGCGCGTTTCGAGCGCAACCTGGCAGACGGAGTCGGGGCGCTCCCGCACGCGAGCCGGTGGGGAGCTCCGCTTGCCGCACGCCTGCTTTTCGCTGCACATGCTGAAGCCGCCATGCTGTGAATCCCCAGGGCCTCCAGGGCTCGCCCTCAACCTCTCACAGACCAGCGCACAGCGCCAGAGGAGGTATTTTCTTCTGAAAAACAAGGCTGTGAACAGCGTCTGCATATAGTAGCGATGAGCTCACTAGCTAGAGCTCACACTAGAGGCCGTCATCGCATTCGCCCTGGGACCCAGCGCTGACTTCTGACTGTCGTTGCGGTCTATCCCTTTCTCGACTGTCTGAGCTTGTGCGTCTTGCGTCGGTGTTTTGTTTTTGTGTGAACAGCGTCTCTTCTCGAAAAAAAATCTGCCCACGTTGAGACTCACCGTATCCACGGTATATGCGTCCAGCGCCCTGCCGCGCCAGCCGCCCAACGCGAGGGCCGGGGCCCCGCGCCGCTGAGCCCGCCCCCCGCCACTCCCTCTCCCTCCCCTCCCTCTCCCTCCCCGCCCGCGCGACGCGTGCAGGGGCTCGCGCCACCGCCCAAGCCGCGCCTCCGCCCTCCCCCTGTACTCTGTCGCAGCGCGATCCCCGGCCAGCATGATTGCGCGCCACCGCGACCGCACCGCGCCCTGCCGCGCCACGCCCGCGCCAGGGCTCCGGGACTGCGCCGCCCGCTCCGCGCTGGAATTGCCCATGCGGCCGCCGCCGCATCCTCAATTTCTCCGCTCATCGGACACACTGTCCGTCCAATCAGGTGCCGAGTCTGAGGTGCGCCTCGCTCTTCATCTCCATCTAGATGCCTCCACCCTTCCAACCCGTCCCCACAAAGAAACGCAAACACAGCCCACTTCCCTGGCGGGGCGCGTACCACGGCTTCGCACGAGTCGCGCGGCCTCCCGAGCGTCGATCGCCGGCGCACCCTTCATGGTAGGCATGGCGGTTCAT